TATCTTAATTATCCGCAAAAGTTTTCTTTCCATCTGGGTCAAATAACCCACAACACATATAGAAGGTGAGGGGAAGGGGGGGGGGAATGTAAATCCTACTTTCATTCAACTATGATGATTCAGTTTTCTTGGTAACAACATGGAAGTGATTAGTCATTGCTTTCTATTGGATGTTTGTGCAATTTCTAATCTATAGCCCTTGCATTTCCTGGCAGTTTTTCATGAAAATATTATCCATGGCCAGCCTTGTCTAATTATTTTTTTTAATCAACTGAGATTTTGCTAGCTACTACATAAATATAGTGTTCTCAGAAAGTTTTCATAGCACAAATTCTAGAATCACTAATTGCCAAATCCTAGAGACATGCTGTTATCGAATTAGTTAAAAGTCTTTAAATAATTCTATATCTCCCAACCTTATTAAATACATTAGATTAGCCTTCTTCAACCATGTTGAGATTATAACACCACAGATATTCTTAGTTTATCTAGCATGGGTGTTAAACTTGCAGCGTCATGTTGCCATCACATCAGTGGTCAGATTCAAAACTTTTTACTACCGGTTCTGTGGGTGTGGCTTGATGGGCATGGCTTGGTGGGCGTGGCAGGGGAAGGATACTATAAAACTCCCATTTCCACCCCGCTCCAGGGAAGGTTACTAAAAAAATCCCCATTCCCTCCTGATCAGCTGGGCCTCGGGAGACAGAGAATAGATGGAGGTGGGGCCAGTCAGAGGTGGCATTTACCGGTTCTCTGAACTACTCAAAATTTCCACTACCGGTTCTCCAGAACTGGTCAGAACCTGCTGAATACCAGCTCTGCATCACATGACATTTCATCATGTTTTTCCCCTTGGTGGGGTGGACGTGGCCTGTGTGCAACACATCTGTGTTTTCTAAGGATTTCTATGAGTGGCTACAACAGAGAGTTAACAGGGCAACAGTTCTGTCTTTTTACCAAGACAATAGCTAAAAAGGTTTGGGTATTCAGAGAATGTGGACATTTGCAAATATATTCAGTACCTTCCTTGAATCTCCAGACTATTCTCTTTGGTTGCAATATGGAATGCTTATTTGCCTCACCACCTCTAAAATAATCAGATGCTTTGAGATGTAATAGAGATGGCAGTTTACCCTAATACTTTTTTTTTTTAAAAAAAAAATCATAACCTGATCACGGGTCCTTGCCTAAAAACTTTTAATTCTATCTTAGAGACATAAAATTTTCCTGGTTTGCTTTACCAGTTCATTTTTTGGGATAATCCCTAACTGTAAGACATTGGAAATTTCAACTGGAATTCTAGGAGCAGTTTATTTTACTTGCTTTGACTTAAAGGGACTTCAAGGATTCTAGTTTGATGCTCCCTCCATCACCTCATTTCTTGAGAAAAATCAGCTTAACTCTTCATCACGGAACCTGGTGGTCTGCCTTTCTATAGCTCCGGAGAAATGTTCTTTGCTTCTCCAGGCTCTAGTACTTCCTCTGAGATCAATTGTCCTTGGAGTTCTTCTGGTCCCTCATTCTGAAACTATCCTATCCTCTCTCAGGGGACCATTTTGCCTCACTCCGATGTCTCACATGTTCCTCGCTCTCTCTCTCATATTTCGAGATGAACCTTTTTAAATGGAAGCTTCCTTGAGTCTAGGATTCTAAGATGACTTTTAACATTTACTTTCCTCGGGGAAAAAGGGAGGAACATTGGGTTCTTTCCCTGTTCTTCATATTAATCAGATACGTTTGGGGCGGGAATCTATTTGTGCTTCTGCTCCTGCCTTAGAGGTGTTTGCCTGTGCAAGAAGGACTTGCCAGACTCATCTAATGAACACAGGGGTGCCCACTTGTTACAAGGATTATGTAACAATTTGAAAATAACTGATTCTATTGGTAAGTCACACTGGATACTGACACTTAATTCAGATAAGGATCTAATAATCATGGCAGGTTCTGTTGTTGTCCAGTCCTTCCATTATATTTAAGGACATTCTTCTCCTTGTATTACCTACACCCTGAATCAATTCAATATTGCCATATAAAAGGGGGGAAAAACATTTTAATTATGACGGTTTATAATGGTAGATATAAGTAGATTATTTTTGTAAGCATGATATACTTTTTTCAGGACCCTTTTAGTATAAATATTGATAACCATTACAAGTGCCTGGGTATTGACAGGCAAAACCCCAAATACACAGCCCACATTTACTCTTTGGGTGACAGAGGGATTCTTTACAATATTTGCCCACGTGGTTGTAGAACCCATGTATCAGTTTTGTTCTATCCATACAGCATCAATTACTCAAACGTGGCATTAATGACCTAGCACTGTGGCTCTTTGTTGTGATGTTATAATTTTAATGCCATTAATAATCTCTTATGTGTGAATAGTGAAAGTTAACTCTTATGTGTGAAATACCACATTTCA